TATATATATATATATATATATATATATATAGTATATATATATATATATATATATATATATATATATATATATATATATATATATATATATATATATATATATATATGTATATATACTGCTGCAATGACTAGCCAATGTTTTTGTCTTATAAAATTAACCAGTTTTTATGAATTTGCGTTTAGCTTTTATTCTCAAAATCAAGATTTTATTCAGTTTAAGCAATGTGTAGTGGACTAGAATAAATAATAATTTTTGTAGGAAATAGATCGTCGCAACAACTGGTGTCTAGTACCACAGTTTCGACAAAAGTTTGTTAAACATTATTTGAAGAATTTTCCGGATTGGCCACTTGTACCGATGAAACGTAAGGAAAACACACAACGTGTAAACGTAAGTTCATTGGTTTGCATATGCAGTGGAATCCCATTAAGTTCATTTGGTAAGCTCATTTAGTTTGGATGTGCAATGAATTGATCATTACTCATTCATGAATTAGTAAAAATACTCGAGGGAACGCCTCATCCCTGTCTGGAAAACGTTTTCTCCAGAAAGACTTTACCCGCTGAGAAGAGGTATTTTCTGAAACATGGAGAAATTAGAAAATTGGAACAGTTGTTCGATTTTAGAACCATAATAAATATTGCTTACAGATTCTCCGAGAGGGTAGACCTCATTCTGCATATGTTTTGCGAACTGAAAGACAATTCGCATTACTACGTTTTCCAATTCGTGGCAGATTTGGTGCAGATTGTGTGGTAACCCCATGCATTCGTCACAGACATATAGATGAATGGATTTATCGTGGCTCAGAAAGATTAGAAGCAATTCGTCAAACAATTGATGTAACATTAAATAATATGAATTGAAAGTGTTTCGAAAATTTTAATAAAACTTAAAAATCACTAGTTGTAGTGGCGTGTAATTTAATTAACCATTGAACTTATTTCATATTTTCAGAGATTGGAAAAAGTCGAGCAACAAGAAAAAATGGGAGTTAAGGTTCCAGTGCGTTCCAGGCGGGAAGCACGATTAGCTCACAGTTTAGGATACAAATTTTCATTGCCGGGACAAAATATCTCAGATACGAATCTAAGGTTTGAAAATTGGAAACGTTATTAGACGATAAAAAGGTCAAAATGGACTTATGTTTTTTTCCCATACAAATAAAGTTTATTATTTCTACCGTTATATTTTCGCTATTATCATTACTATAAAAGTCTCTTTCGTAAAACATTCTATTCTTTTCAGCAAAAAGGTGGAGCTTTGTCCGCGTGGTCGAGCTCTACTAAGTGATAGTGAACAGGTAAGAGATATTAATTTCTCATATTATCGCTTTTTTTCACGATCTGTTTGTGTCGTTTTTAAAGTTTTCTAACAAAATACAGATTTTCTTTCAGATTTATATCAGGCGTCAAACGGCTCGAAAAGGAGGAATACTAGGCGTGCAGCATGAGAATGATTTTCAAGATTATTCAGTTATTGAAGGAAGAGTACCTCGTTTACGCAAAGAGGTTTGTAATTATTTATTTTTTAAATGGTTAATTTAAATGAGTAGAGCGAGTGGGAATTTCGGGCTTACATATGAAATATAAATTTTAAAAATATTTTATACTTTCAAAAGTCGATCTTAAGTTACATAATTTCTTCCAAAATTTGATTCTTCAATCCATTTTCTTTGTACAGAAGAACCTTTTTGTACAAGATATACCGGAATGGAACAACTTGCAACAAGTCGTCCACTCACATTGTACGATCAGGTGTTTACAGTGCCTAGATAAAGATCCATATGACAAAGAATTTGGCGGTTGCTCTCCTTATATGATTCCTCTACTAGTGGGTTGGTCACGTGAAGTAAGTGCTATATATTTTCGACTTTTTTTTGGAGAAAGTATCATTTTTCTTTCTTAGGGAAGGTTTATACCTTTCTTTTTGAAATTCTTTTTATCCTTATAACTTGGAAATAACGAAATTAGTAAGGGATATATATCAGTGATAAAAGAAGTTCAAAGCAATAGTTACTTCTCGTTTTTATATTTTCGTTTTGAAAAGTTTGTTATTTTTCAAATCTAAGAACAAAAATTTCTTGAATGTTTCGAAAGTATTATCAAATACTTTTAAAGTCACTTTTAAATTTTCTTTTGTAGATTGTAACATTCACGAGAAGGGCTAAAGTAGCTCATTCTCGTAAAGCTACTGGTTCTGCTGTGGTTTATCGTACACCATGTGGAATCTCTATCTACAATTTGAATCAGATTACGAAATATTTGAAAGTGTGACATATCTAATCGCTTTAGACACTGTAGAATTTTGTATTAGTGAAATGTTGTACCTATTTTGATTTAATAAAATGTAATATAATAGTGTTTTTTAAATGAGTTTATCTTACCCCGTTTTTTATTAGATAGCATTAATGATTTCACATTAAGGTGATTCCTTTACTTATGCTAGCACTGATTAACTTATAACGCAAGCACAGCATCTAGATGATGAAAACTTTATTTGTTTATGGGCCAGATTTTCTTTTATTTCCAGGATACATCTAGCCGCTTAACCATTGATTTGTTCACATTTGATCGAACAATTCGTCCGAATATAATTTATCGAACACCGGTTAAAGCTAAGCTAGTGGATGATTTTACAAATGGTTATGAAGCTATCCCAATTTCTGTTTATAATGAAATTGATGATGAATTACCACCAAAAGTAAACTTTTCTTAGTTGATATTATTTTCCAGTAAAATGAATATTGCCAACTCATATTCCTTCACCCATCTTTCTCTTTTTATATTTCACTGATCCTATCTTCTTGATAGAATTAGGTCATCAATGCAGGAAAGATGTATATCTCTAGTTTCCGGAAGTAGATCTAGTTTCCAAGTTTCCTTATGTGTATATGGATTTTTGTCATTTTCTTTTATTTTCCTTAGGTAAGTATTAATGTATTTATAGCTTTAGAAGTATGTTTAATATCTCAAATTTTTTTCCAGGTTGAATATGATCCACGACGATATCCATACGATAAGGAGACAGACATATCATCCATATCACTTGATTTTTGTAGTGGATGTACCTGCACTGGTTGGTATTTTGTAATTTGTAATTTTTTTCCAAATGTTTGAAAAATTTTTCATCATAAGAATTGAGCCTCTGATTGTCATGAGTTTAAACTTCATGAAAAGTTTTTTATTTGTCCTATTTTTTTTCTTTTTTAACAAGACGATTGTGCGGATGAGACCCGGTGTGAGTGTCGTTTATTAACTCGCTCAGAAGTACTACGTCTGGATAAAAGTCTTCAACCCTCATTTGCTAAAGGATATATGTGAGTTTTCCGCTAAAAAAAAAGGAAAATATCGATTCTACTTTAACACTATTTTATAAAGCTTTGGTAACTCTCGAATTCTCATTTTATTTCTTTTTACTTTTTATTTTTTTCTTTTTGTATTTTTTGAATTAGAATAATTTTCAGTTCATTCTGCGAGGTATCACCTTGTACGCTTTTTTTTCTTTTTGAAAGCACTTAATTAGATTTTAGAAGTTATTATCATTTGCTTTTAAGCTGGTATAACTGGTGCTCTACCTGTGTGACAATAAATGGAGCATACCAATTATATCAGCCAACAAAACTGTTCAATCAAGCAGCGAAGTTGAGGTTTTTTATAGGTATCGTAATTTGGCACTTGGAGGAGCTGATGAATCTTACTTGTCAGGTTTATATGAATGTAATGAAAAATGTGGATGCAGTCGGAGTAACTGTCATAATCGAGTGGTGCAACAAGAGATGAAAATTCCTCTTGAGGTTATTCTTTCAACTATCTATAAATACTAGCTGTATTGCCTTAGACCATGACATTAGAAATTTATAATCTAGCTCAGCAGCATTTCATATTCGATTGTAATTATCAAGCAAATTTTGACTTTACCGACAATCTAGCAGGGAATGTGTTTGATCGTGACGAAATTTTGCACTGGAAGCCTCAGGAAATGTTTTCGATTTTGCCCTTATTGATACTCATATATTAATTTACACTTATGCGCATCCATCAAAAGAAGTGATTAGTGACAAAGGATAATTTGATGAGTTGATACAAGAGGGCGGAGTAGCATATCAAGCAATATCATTTAGAAGCGGAAGACCTATAAACCTTATGGTTCTTAGCTGTCATGGAAGGAAGAATGCCTCCTTCCCTTCAGCACTGCTGATTCCGATAGTATCGCTAATTCTGGCATAGATCTGTTTATGTCACTTTCCAATCGTTTATCAGATCGGTGGGTCCTTCCTCCTAGTCTTCATCATTTCACTATTTGTTCACATTGTATCTCAGATGGGTTACCTCGAGTTGTGCTCCTGAAGTACAACCGATTGTTTGTGGATTGATTTCTATTTGTTGAACTATTGAATACAATCTGTGTTTTAGAAACCATAATATCTGTTTGTTTTGAAGCTGAATGCAATTCTTTAAAAGTATTTTTGTTCTTTCGGCAATGTCAAAGCCAAATATAAGTTTATGAAGTATAACTGTTGCTGAAACTTATATACATAACTGGTTACCTTCAACAACTAAAATTATGTTTGTCCAGAAAAATGAAATTGGGGAATCATCTGAAAAAGGTGTTAATATCTATGTTTTGAAATGATTCACGAATATAGCAGAAAGAACAATTAAGACGAAAAATATCAAACGATCGCAAGTCAGACCGCAGAATGTCTTGCTAATTTCAATTTAAATCAACCATGTATTATTGTAGTTATTGGAAATTTTTTGAAAATTAGAAAAATTTCTTGGAAGTTATTGTTTGGTTTTTATCGTCTCTTACTGGTTCAACTGTTTTAGCTTTAATTGCCGTTACTTGTATTTATTTTTTACAGTTGTTTAAAACAGAAAAAATGGGTTGGGGTGTTCGATCGATGATTGATATTCCACCTGGAGTTTTCTTATGTACTTACGCTGGTGCTATTCTTACGGACAGTCAAGCGGAAAAGGAAGGCAAGGCGGCAAGTCATTTTCTGGGATTCGCTATTTTTTGGTTTTTCATCTTTATGCACTAGTTAGTAGAACAACTGTTATATTTATATACATTTCAGTATATGTTCCGGGTATTCATTTTTTAATATTTGTAGTTATGGTCAGAGAATTATCAGTGAAGAAAGCGTTAGTGAATATATAAATCGCTCTTCTATACTGTTTGAATAAATATTTGTAGTTCGGTGACGAATATTTTGCCGATGTAAATTTGGTAGATAACGTTGAAAAGGAGAAGCATAATGCTGGTGTTGATTTGGGAGATTCAAATGACGGCTATTATTCAGATGACGAAAATAATTGTGGTAAGGTTCTGGTTTAGAATCAGCTTTTTGGATTTTAGAATGGATTATGAGGAGATATATCAGAAGTTATTAAACTTATTAAGTTATTTAAATTATTAAGCTTTTTTTTTAGGTGGTGGGCCTAATTTATCACTCGAGAGTGGATTGATTACTACTGATGAAGATTCGTCTGAGGAAGACGACGATTATGATAGGTCGGGAAAATCAGTTTTTATTTTTTGTTGTTTTTATTACTACGTAAATGAAAGATTTTGCTGTTCTCTGCAGACGCTGCTATTTAAATAATATCTGTTGTTGGAATCTGAAAATTTTTTAAAGTTTTGAATTGTAATCTCCTTTATCGATTGTAAACTGTCTGTTCCAGTGGCCAAGATTCGTCGTTCTCTTCAGAAGGAAATCATTCCGAAACTAGAACTGTCAAAACTCAGAAACGTCGGAAACTTATGCAAGAAGGTGATGAAGAACAACAGAATTCTTCAATAAGGGAATCAGTAAGTTTCACTGGCCCTCTGCTAAGAGCAGTGTTTGCAAAATGTCTTATTTTGGTTTAAATTTTAAAATTTTTACAAAATGTTTTCAGGAAAAGAATGAATTAGCAGCAGCGGATTTGGATTATGCTCGTTCATCACTTGTTATGGCGGAATCAGACTTTGCAGGTGGGACGAAATCAGACAATGATGATATGCCGGCAGTTGAACCAGCAGGTACCGATCCGGCTTTTGTATGTCCATAACTTTTGATAGATTCGGTATTCCCAAGTATGACAATGAAATTGATTTCAGTTTGCGACTTCAATTTTCAAAATTCATTTCCTCAAAGTTTTGTTGACATAATCATTGCACACAAAGTTTTGACTAGGTCCACCCGAAGGTCGTTTCGATATGATAAGATACGTTGAAAACATGGAACTTCCATCATTGTACACAATTGATGCAAAGAAAAAGGGTAATATTGGACGATTTTTTAATCACAGCTGTCAACCCAACATTCGTGCTCAATTGGTATATGTTGATACTCATGATTTTCGATTACCTTGGATTGCATTTTTTACGACAACAAAGATCTCTGCGGGTTCAGTATGTTATTTCTGTCTTACTATTCAGATTTTGGTTAATTTTTGATAAGTAAAATTTAAATTCCTGGCTTTTACATCTTCGGTTTTTTATTAAGGTGTTTGGTAAGGAAATAAATTTGTCATATAGCCGATTTTTCATTTTCACTCTTGTTTGTGTATGTAAATAACAGTTATTATTTTTCAGTAGTTTTAACTAATCAAAGCGTAGTTGAATATTGCATTCGCAGTTGTAGAATTGTATCAAAAAGTAGAATGGGAGTTCGTTTAAAATCAAAACTCTTCCGTACCTTCATTTTTAGGAACTGTTTTGGGATTATGGTTATTCGGAAGGTACTGTAGATGGAAAGCAGCTTGAATGCTTTTGCGGATCACGTACTTGTCGCAAGCGACTTCTCTAAAGCTCTTTGCTGCTTGATAAATGATTTTTCCAATGTCTCGTTGAGCTACTGCTGATCTGAAGAAATTCGGATCTAAATTTTCGATTTTTTTTTCTTGAATTATTGATTGTAAATAAACAGTTTTATGCTGTATGATGAATGCATTGTATTAAATTGCCGTCGGAAATCCATTTCCGCAGATTAAGATAATATTTTGAAGTATATTGAAGTACATGGGATTGTTTCTTTTTTGAAGTTTGCCTTAAAGATTGATATTTTCCACAAATTTTTACTGATTATGAAAGAAAAGAGGTGGAAGATATTCCAAGGAAAAAGTAGTCTTAAGATCACCTCTCGAGTATCGCTTTCCGATATAATTTTACTGTTTTTAAATTTCAAGTTTTTTATATTTTCCTAGTAATCATCGGAATTCCATTTGTGTATCGGTAATTTCAGTAGCAAATGGCAGTGAAAGTCCTTTATTCAAGTTAGTATAATTGAACTATATTGCTTTTGAGTTCGAGAAATACATTAACATACGATGAGAAGATAGGACCCTATCGAGTGATAACATTATCAGAAATTCAAATTTCTTAGCATTCAATGGGATTCCTAGTTTTTTTCTTAACATGGCTTTTTTTTTTTTTTTTTGATCCGGAAAATATGGAGACATAGCGCAGATTTTAACAAAGAAACAGTGGATTATTTCATTGAATAAGTAAGGAATATTGAAGGAATTCATAGAAGTGAGCAATCTTGCAGGATTTCTTGTCAGATTCTTCAGCGTCTTGTACCATCTTCGAAGAAAACGCCACCATCCAAAGCACAGTACTTTGGGCAAATACCACGTTCACCTTGTGGTCCGGGATGTCCTGGTGGTCCTGGTTGTCCATCCTCACCTGGTTGACCTGGTTGGCCGGGTGGTCCTGGTGGTCCTTGCAGTCCTTGCGGACCTTCCGATCCAGGACGTCCTGTTGGACCTTGTTCACCAGGCAATCCTTGTGGTCCCTATAATGATTGCATCGTTTAATCATGTTTCAGATTCAACTTTGATGATCAAGTTTTTCTGAGCCAGAAAACTTCCTAAAAAATTCAGTGGTACTTACGGGTTCACCGGGCGGACCTGGATCACCGGGTGTTGCTGGTGAACTCATAGCTGGTCGTCCCGGCTCTCCTCTTGGACCCTCACGTCCTGGTTCTCCTGGTGGTCCAGGTTGTCCTGGAGGACCTTGTGGTCCTGGTGGCCCATCATTACCATTTCGACCTGGATATCCAGGTGGGCCAGCATTCCCTGAAATTAGCTTGAAGATGTTAAAACTTAAAACAATTAAACGTTAAAACTTAAAACGTTAAAACTTAAAACAACTTAAAACACTGAAGTATCGATTTACTGTATAACAAGCTCAAATTAATCAATCTTCCTAAAAACCGAAAGCAACAAATAAAAAACAAGGTGAAACCTTGGTCGCCTGGAGATCCTGGCGGTCCCGGTTCTCCTGGTGGACAGGGTGAGCATGGCGGTTCGACTGCTTCCTCACAAATTCTGAAACAGACAATCTTTGACTACCTAACAGTGGAAGAACACCATCAGCACATTTATTTTTAGATAATACTTTCAGTATTCTGAAACAAAGAAGGATGGAACTGAATAAAGAAAAGCTAACGCTGGAGGTCTTCCGGGAAATCCTGGGGCTCCAGGTGCACCTGGACGTCCAGGAATACCATGTTTGCCTGGAGGGCCATCTGGACCGGGAAGTCCTGGTAAGCAACAACCTGGAAATGATGAAAACAACTCTCAATTGATGAATTTTTTTCTTTTTTTTTGAGCCAACGATCCAAAGTTTTGGATGTTTGAATTCAAAACTGTAGAAAGTGATTTTCTTTTGTGGTGAATTTAAAATTGAAAAGCTGGAAATTAAAATTGTGATTAGATTTGAAATACTGGATGACATTTCAAACATGCAATCCTGAATAAACTTAAATTTCGAAGATTTCAAATAGACCTTCACAACGACTGCTTTGTCTTTTAGCTCGACCAGCAATGATGGTTTGATTGTGTAGAAGTTTTTGAAATATCGGTGTTGCACCTCGTGGTCCTGCTCGATACTCATTCACTTCCATCATCACATCACGAACTGATAACTGTAAAGATAGATTTTGATCTTACACTTATCATATTTATTCATTCCAGCATACTGTAAATTACATTTGTTATTTGTTTATCATTTCGTGAAAATTTTATTTTCGATAATACTTGATTTTACTATCAGATACGAAGAAAAAACAAACGACTGTCCCCAATTGGTCATTTCAATTGCCAGTAAAAATTTATGCTAAAAAGATGTTTGACATAAGATCAAATAATGTACATGATTTAAATAAAGCAACCTGGATAAATTTTCAAATTAATTCCTTCCTTATGCTAATGATTTAATTTTTCGTAATAGTCCAAACAAAAAGGTAATTTATCAATTCTATCAAAGTGAAATTTGTCGTTATCATAATATTGCATAATTTGCAGTTAATAAGAGAGTGCAAAATGGATGCTTATTGAACTTTTGCGCCTAATAAACTTATTTCTAAATATGCGACATATAGTGCTTAATATTTGCACATTATTGTCTCCTTCATGATTATTCTATCGTATTTGCCGTTATATCATCAAAATATATTCGTGTTAAACAAATATTTAGTATTAATTTTTAAATAAAATTAAAATTTTGATTTACTTTTAAAATTTTCCTCAAAAATTAATCAGTAATGATAACAATGTCTTAGTGATAATCACTGCTATTATTATCACTACAATAATTATTATCTTTGCATTTTAGATGTGAACAATTATCTGATTAATAGAATACTTCGACATATATAAGTGTAATTAAGTTAATCTTATCATTGCATACTTTTCTTTTCGTTTTCTTTTTCGTGTTTGCAGATATGAAATACTGATATTTTCGATTAATTTGTGAATGAAAATCAGAATAAGTTCCTTTAATGCAAATGTAATTGATAATGAAATTAGTGATAATTATCATAACTCAATGAAACTGGTTATCACTATTGCACTTATTCAAAATAGAAGGACCCATTATGTATCACGACAAGATACATCAATTTATCAGTAATTAAACTAATCGTCATTTGTTATTCATTTGTCTATCTTTATCAATTTGAATATCAATCTCACTTCTTAAAATATATTGTGATGCACTCATTACGAGAGAATTTGAATTAAACATTTACAGAATTCCTCATTCATTTTTAACATTTCTTACAACTAATCTTTTCGTTGACACTTATTAATGACAAAGAGACATTTATTGTCCTTCCAAACTTTTTGTTGAAATTTTTTTTTTTTGATGAATGTTCAGAGAGGTATGAGAAAAAGAAATTGACAAGAAGCACTTTTTTAATAGAATTAATTATTGCTGGAAACATTTGAACGCATTCTCTCTGGTATTTAAATGTTTGTTAAAAAGGAACAACAAACCGGAACAATCAATTAGTTTGTTGAAAGTTTTTATAGATATTATTCCGTTTTCCGGAAAAAGAGACAAAAATGATGGAAAAAGAAGATGCAGTAAATGATGATCCGGAAAAAGTCATAAATATGAATGTATAAAATATAATTTTTATGAATTATAAAGCATACAATTTCGGAATCTGAATAACAATAGCTTCAGAAATCATCAGAAAATGCATCATTCGTTAAAATAGGATTGCTTAATTTTGTAATTTGATGAATTGAAAATTTTTTCTTTTTCTTTTTTCAATCTTACAAAGATGGATTCAAATTATTTCTTATCAAAGAATCAAATCATTAGCATTATCAAATTCGTTTATCTCATATTAGTTAAAAATTTGAATAGCAAAATTAAATCTTTTCTATTTTTATAACTTAAGATTACAGAAGAAATCGGGATTATCAGTGGCGTAGTTATCAGTAGCGGAATTTGTACTTAAACTTTAATCATTTTTTACCATCATTATTATCTAAGTTGACACATGAATCTGATCTTGATATGAAAATTAAAATAATAGAATAATTAAAATAATAGAAAATTGAAAAAGCATTGAAATTATTAAAGAAAAAGTTACCTTACAAAAGTCCATTTCTGATTGTACTCGCATATTTATTGAATTGATATAATTGTTAACCATTGGTAGAGTGATAAAAACGGCAAGAATTGCCACAAATGAAAATGTCACCGCCGAAAATGTCACCAAACGATAGGCTTTCTCACGTATTTCTGATTCAATTAACATGATGATAGCTTAAATCTAAATTTTAGAAATCCATAATTATTGCTTAACCGTTAATTACTATTTCAATGATCGTTAAAAATTAATTAACCAAGTTATGGTTTGTTTAATAAAATAACTTTAAAATATGCAAATTCTTGTAATTCATTGATATTCCACCATGTATTACATGTATGTGTGTGTGTGTGTGTGTATGTGTGTGTATGTATGTGTGTGTGGGTATATATGTAAGTTAAGGAATGAATGAAAGTGGTAACAATTTATATATTGAAACCAAATGGATTGACTGTCCTGTAGGAGGTGTCGTTGGGGATGTCATACGGGGTTTGCTTTATTTTTTCTTTTTTTTTCTTTTTTTTTTTTTTGAAAAAAATATATATGAACTCCGCCCTGAGGATTTTTGAAGAGGATCGAAAGAAGGACAATGATATGGAGAATAAAAGCAAGAAAAAGAAGTTTGATTAGGAAACACCTGAATTATATCTATCCTTTCTCTTCATCTCCCCGCGGCAATTTATATACCTTTGATTATTGTCATTATCATTAAGAGAAAGAGAGAGAGAGAGAGGAGGAGAGGAAGAGAGAGAGAGAGAGAGAGAGTAATTA